ATTTCCTGAGCCAAACATATATCTCTTGCTTCTAAACGCAAATGACGATAAAATAGATGCATTCTTGCACCACACACGCTTTGCTATCACCCTGTATATTGCAGGTGATTGAAGTAACATCCTTATTGTAAAGTGTCGGTGCTCGGATGCAGTCGGTTTCGTTCGGAATAGCTTCGGATGTAGATACGGGCCTGTCTGTGAAGCTTCCGTCTATAGTCTATGTCTATACTGTTTGAGCAGCTCTGCTTGTTTGTTGACTGGCTGGTTATAATGGTAGTCGTGTATGTGTTTATTTATTTTGTTGTTATTGTCAGTGTGATGTATGTTGGAGATGTATGTGTGTGTGTGTGGAATGAAATTTGAATTTGAATGTAGCGATTATTTTTAAATTAATTTGTTGTTTATTTAATGGTAAAAACACTTTGTTTTATTCAACCTTTGATTTACACAGATTATAAAGGTAAAATATAATAGAAATAGTTGCAAAAATGACAAAAAGACAACCTTTATGTTATACGCACATTTTTTTAATTATAACTACCACCGTAAATTCATGTGGGAGTCATTTATACCGAGCTTTTCCTCATAACACCCATATACGTAATTAAAAGCCTTTTACATAGAACATTAATTAAAACTTGCGCATCTATAAGACTAACAGTTATACTGAGAAATCAACTTCAATTCGTTTTTTTTTTAATATTTCTTTTAGTGACTGCTGCAGTCAGAAGGTATACATGTCACTAGACACATACACAGCCTAAAATACACCCCACACATTATAAATATATCAAGAACGTCCCAACTCCCTTCAGACAGAAATAAACAAATCATTGCGTCAGTTATTCCCGTCTAATCGTCCCCTGACGCCTCTATTCCGCTTCAATTCATTCATTATAACACGATTAGTCAACTTGATGTACACACGGCTACCAATCAAGCTATACAGAACCAGTTAATCATGGTCTCGGTTTATATGGTTCTTCTGCATATTCAACGGTCAGGTTATACTGGTTTTGTATAGCTTGTGTACCAAGGGAAGCGTATACCTGTGTATGAAGACGGACAGACAGGCAGGCAGTCGCGGTTGTCGCGAAATTAAACGGAAATCGAACGATGCGGTCTGTGACCGCCTCGGAGTGGTCTATTGTGCACAGCCCTATACGTAAATGCCTTATTGTGTGCCAGTATCGTGTCGTGACCATAGATAGGATGAGATTTTTTTTTTCAAAGTGCGACAAATGCGGTGGGCATTGTTTGTTTGAATTGTTTGAAAAAAGTTCTTTTTACGGTAGGTACGCAGCGTAATTTGTTAAACCAAAATACTTTATGTAATTACATGTAAAGTTTTTAGTACCTACTTATTATTTAAATTGATAGAAAATGTTTCAGGAACATCTTTTGAATTACAAATAGAGTTGTAATACAGAAAACTACTTCTACACCAAATTTTAATTATTCACCAATTATTTTCTTTTTTGTTTCAATGACAACTCTAGATAAGTATACAATTCCTATTTTCGAAATTCGAATCAATCTTTACAATGACAATGACCATTTTCGAAATTCAATTTACGAATGAAATGTTTGTCTAAATTACAAATGTAGGAAATAAATTCGTGTTGCAGCCAGCTATCAGTTTCGAATTTCGAATTAATTTACCAAACGGCTAGATTTTAGCGGGCGATATTAACTTCACATTGGTGTCAAATTACTCGGTACTGAGTATTGTATGACATTTGTGTAGTACATTCAGTACATAATTAGAGTTTATTAAACATGTGAAGGCACACATAATGATCAAAGTTTTAGGTATGATATATTTTTGGACCGTCATATTGTTTTGTGTTTTAAGTGGAGGGCATAAGCATAAAGATTGTCCTCTCTTAAAAAATAGGTATAAAAAAACTCCCAGTTTTCACCTGTTATTTCTTTAGTATTTTTACATTTTTGATGACGCCTAGGTACCTAGGCGTTTGTTTTGATTATGACTAAATACAGGTGTATTTACAGGTTTATTACAGGTTTTTTACAGGTGTATTTTGATTGTGACTAAATGATAAAAATGACAATATAATGGGAAATAATTCGACATGTATAAACTTCTAGCGAAAAAAAAATACAGTACTTATGAACTTTCCAATTTTCACATTTTCCTTCCTGAACTCCCTAAATTTAGAATTTCGCTTACTTCATAATATTATATTCCTAACAAAGCCGACTTTAGACGTGTTCCCGGAATGTTTCGGACAAAAACATTGTTAGGGCTACTGGCACGTCACATTCACAACTGCCCAAGGGATCCATTACAATTTCCACGCCCGACAATAAGTTGACTAAGTGTAGGTACGCGAAAAACCCTGAAATAGACTGTCTCTTTCATTCGTTGTAGTCTATAAAAGAAAAAAAAATTGACCAAAAAGGATGGCAATAATATCATAGTTTTCTTCATTTATTGCAACACTAACTACATGACAGGGTATATGTACCTCTAGAACCACCTCATTCCGAAAGGTATTTATTTTAATATTATGCTGCGGAAAAATAACGAAACAAAGGACGTTTCCTAAAAGTAGTGCCTTTTTCTGGCGGTTCTCGATATTCGATGAAAAATATTTACCACTTAAAAATAAATAAATATTATATTAGTATAAAGTAACACAGAAAATAAAAAGAAAATGCAATATCTAACTTACGGCGTCGAAAAAAAAAAAATTAATGAAGTCGGTAAATAGGTATTATATTGAACTTTACTATTTCGTCACCATTATTAAATTCTAGTGCTTGATAAGGATATATTCTTGTTCGGAGAAGTACTTAGGGTGGATTGGCGATTTTCAATTTTTTACTTGCATTTCACAAAAACAACCTCTGCAAAAATAACCCTCAGCCTTAATGCGAAGGTCAACTACATACTTTAACACTACGTGACAGAGTATAAAACCGCCTGAACCCCCCATTGTGACTAAACCAGGAACTAGTTTAAAGTTTGCATAGATAAAATCGATAAGTTAAATGCAAGTCGTGCTATCAAACGAGGTGCTCGTTTAAGTAGATTTTATCATTTAACCAATGTAGTTAACTTGACTTCGTTACGTTAGTTTAACTAGGTTTGTGTGGGAACATGTGGAGAATATTGTTTGTAACACGTAACGTATTAATATAATTAGTTATTTTTGAGTAAATTATGACGTGTCGTGGTGGCCCGGAGGTTGAAGACACCTGCTTCTCATGCACGAGGGTGCAGGTTCGAAACTTACCAACGGCAAGTACCAATGTAACTTTTTCCGAGTTAAATGTACTTTCTAAGATTATTTAGACACCACTGACCAACGGTGAAGGAAAACATCGTGAGGAAACCTGGGCTTATAATTTCTAATTATAAGTTTGAAATCGCCAACCCGCATTGAGCAAGCGTGGTGATTATTGCTCTAACCTTCTCCATGTGAGAAGAGGCTTTGCTCAGCAGTGGGCATTTATAAGCTGTTGATGATGAGTAAATTATGTTTAGGTCCTTTTTTATATTAAACGGGCCGACTTTTGACCACTATCTCGCCTGGTTGTAAGCGATGGTGCGGTCTATCATTTATTTAATGCTTCTAATGGAAATGTTAAAGTGAAGTGTTGAAGTTACATCAGTGAATCTTAAGTTGTATATATTTAATTTATTAATAGTTAGTACATAGTTACTTATTTTATTTCAGTTTTTATTATCTGTAAATAAAAAAAATGTTCAGTGAATCTAAATAGAATGTACACAGGTCGTCGTTAATTTTAAGTTTTCGTTTTAAAAGAAAAAGTTATTGCCTCATTGGTTGAGTGGTCGCAAGTACGACTGCCGAGCATGGGGTCTCGGGTTCGATTCCCGGGTCGGGCAATGTATTACTGAGTTTTTATAAAAAGCACGGAATCTGGAATTGTGGCCCATATTATGGCAATAGGCTCATCTCCATCTCCACATGGGACTAATAACATAAATAGTGAAAAGTGGATGTTACATTGTACAGTGACATTCAGTGCTGTATTGTGCACCTCTGCTTACCGGAGGCCTAATTACCCTAGTCCCCGTCTCCCGAATCCCCGAATCCTCCATAATCATCAAACTCCCAATTCCCAAAAGGCCGGTAAAGCACTTGTAACGCATTGGAGTTTCGAGTGACCATGGGCGGCGACGCCGATTGCTTACCATCAAGTGCTCGTTTACCGGCCGCTATGCTATATTTATATATGCTTACCTATGCGTGATGTTATGTAAGAAAAGTTATTAATTACGAGATTCAAAGAAATTGTGAAATTATATTAGGTATATCAACTCCAAACTATAAAAGCAAGAAGCTGTTACATGAACCAATGTAAACTACAAAAATAGAATATCAAACAACTTCTTCATTTATGTTAGTTACATAAAAAAAACTTCAATGCAAACAAAAACGCCAAAACAAAGGAAGCTCAATGAAATCTCGTTTTCCTTATAAAACACTTATTTAGGAATGTGTCAACAAGAAATATCACGAACACTTTCACTTCGGAGTAATATTTTATTTGTCTATTTTTTGTCTCCCTCTATTTACCTACTATGGTGATAACAGGAAAAAGTACGCTATCACTTGAATGAACCTATTGTTGTATTTGGAAAGATATTGTTCGTAGGTAAGATATATCTATAACATAACATAACATTACATAACGTCACGCCTTTTATCCCCGAAGGGGTAGGCAGAGGTGCACATTATGCCACTGTACAATGTAACACCCACTTTTCACTATTTATGTTATGAGTCCCATGTATTAGGGGGTGAGCCTATTACCATATACCGGGCACAATTCCGGACTCCGTGTTACTATTGAGATTTTTTTTAAAACCTGGTAATACTTTGCCCGACCCGGGAATCGAACCGGAGACCCTTTGCCCGGGAGTCGCACTTGCAACCACTCGGCCAACGAGACAGATATATCTAAGTATTATTTATACTCTCTACATTCATCACCATCATATAAAAATGTTAAAACGTAGGTACGTTTAGGATAAAAAAAATATATTACAATATTGCTAAACACAACGAACATTTATGGTAAATTCCCATTATACGTAAGTTGAAATAAAAATTGACACTTTTTTTTGAGCAGAGAATATTATTCAATGACTTCTACCGCCTCAAGTTAGGCGAGATCCCTCTCGCTAACTAGAGGCGGTGGTTTTTAGTCAGTAAGTTACTGACTAAAAACCACCGCGTTCCTACTTCTATGCAATGCAACATATTATTGATCGAGGAATCTCGGTACCGATTCGAATCAAGCAATCTTGGTTTTTAGATTCAGTGGGGTCCGTGGGGTGTACATTTGTTTACAATAAAACAGAATTCGAACGTATCTCTTCTCTTGTTACAGCAGTGCGAGCGTCCCCCGAGCCGCGGCGAGCACCGAGTATCCTGGAACCACCTCATCACGTGGACTTCACTAATGACACAGGGACCTTGCTCAGCTGCGCCACAAGGGGAGACTATCAGGTATGAGAAAAGAAACCTAATTTTCCTTTAATTTAGGTGCGTTTTAAAGTAAAAAGACGTAACACACACACACACATGCACACATACATACAGTTGACGACTGACAATGATCAATATTCATCACTCATATTTCTTATATTGATATTGATTATTAGCCAGCAAGACAGGTATGGTAATTAAATTTTATACAGGTCAAAACAAAGCCTACCTTTTTGTTTTAAAATAATAAACACATTCTGTAAATTCATTCCACTTTACTATTACCACAGTCTATAATACTACATAGGTAGTATAAAACGAAGTCGCTATCCACCGTCTCTCTGTCCCTATGTATGCTTAGATCTTTAGAACTACGCAACGGATTTTGATGCGATTTTTTTTATAGAGGGATTCTTAAGGAAGTTTTATATGTATGCATATTGCACCCGTGCGAACTCGGGGCGTGTCGCTAGTTTATAATATAGAAAGTGCATCAACAATTTTACAATTATAAAGATACTTCAGAGCGTTGTTTAATATAATCCTACTAATACTACAAATGCGAAGATTTGTCAGAATGTATGTGTATTTGATACTCTCTTACGTCTAACCAGCTAAAGGGATCGAGATGAAATTTGGAAGAGGTGTCGATTATGGTATGGAATAACGCATAGGGTACTTTTAATCTCACGAGAGCGCGGGCAACGCCGCTGGCGGTAACTAGTAATACAATAAACTAAAGAAGTATAGTTACGTTCACAAAATGAAGTCTGTACCAAAATTCTATTAATAATTTCTACTTAAGTTTCATAAAACTCGGTTCAAGAAACAATAAAGGGATTCTAACTTCGTCAGATGATGACGCTGTTATTTTAATCTTATTAACATTATGAAATTAAACGAACAAAATTCTTATTGTATTTCAACCCTTAGAATGGCAGGGAAAAGATAAAATATCTTTTTCGTTGCCTTTTCTTGTCCGTAAACCGTGTTATGTAAATTGTATTCCTTGAATTTTTTTTCGACCTATTCTTTACAAGGTTAGGGCGCCTGCTCTGAGTTTTAACTAAATATAATTAACTTAACATTAAGTTTTTATTTTAAGGGTTAAAGTACGTTTATATGTAGGTAGATTTGTAGTGTACGTGACAATGAGTTTTGAAGATACAACCAATCAAGCAGCTAATCGAATGTTCCTTAAATCAGTAGGATTTTTTTAACCTCACTCTAGAAATCTCTCCTGTATCGTGGGTGCGTTTACAAACATACAAGTTCACATACATATAACACCCAGACCCGGAACAACAATCTGTGGATCACACAAAGAGTTGTTCCGTGCGGGGACCGAACCCGCGACACGTTGCGCGGCAGTCAGTTGCCCAGCCAACGCACCAACTGTGCAGTCAAAACAAATTAAGGATTCTCAATTACATCTAAAATGGAATTGAAAACTTATACGTTTACGTTTATAAAAATACAAAAAATTACAAATTACAAAAAGATATCAAAATTATCTTATCAATTGTAACAAAAAGATCAAAAAAGTTCAACATCCTTATTACGTTTTATTGGGCATAACTTGATATTGCATAAAAACGTTTCCTTTATATAGAATCAAAGAGAGAGCGTGTGACTAATGGAGTGAGACGCAATAACGAATTGGAGACAGTAGGCGGGCTAAACGGAATATTTCCCAATTTGTATCTCTCCCTAATTCTTTTCCCGAAAGAATAAACAAAATCCTTTCCTGCCGGCTTTTCTATCGTCATATTCGTGTCAACTTGACCCATTTACTTAGGTATTGTTTGCTTTTATATATTGCATTATGGTGTATATAGGATCCCATAATACAGATGGTCTATCAAATTCGAAAACTTTTCTTTACTTTTGAAAGAAGATTGTAGCGAAATTGATGTTCTAATAATTCTGTATCAAAGTGAATGTGCAATCAGATAGGTAGTACTTTCAATTATGTGCAAAAGTCGAAACAGTAAAAAATATAATTCAAAGAGTTACGCAATAGCCAATAGAATTCTGCTATTTGCAACCGAATCTTTAAATTATTTTTACAACCAAACTTTAACCTTTTAACAATTTTTTTATTATATTCTGTGGAGAATGTCGTTGGTCATAGAATTTTTATTCTATGTTTAATATCTATTGTCATATCTAACATAACTGTTTAGTTTCCCAAATAAATAAAAAAACATAAATCTCCTAAATAAATAAACCGAATAATAAATATTGAGTTTTATTTTTACAACTATTGTATGAAAAAAATGTTGAAAACGATACAGCTATTAAATTAAATTGCATTTTCAACACGAGTCTCATAATATATTGCAGTGCGAATTTTATTGAGACCATCCATCCCCAAACAAAAGCTATTCTGTCCAAAAACACTACGGTAAAGCTGGGAGCTAAATTCAATTTATTAAAAGTGTAGTTCCACGGGGTTTTCTGGAAAAGATAAATAAAAACTTTACATGGAAGTTGACGTCGCAACATGCAAAATATAGGAACGCAACTAAGTTTTTATAATAATCTACTGGTAAGGAGCGGAATTCTTTGCCAGAGTACATTTCCTGAAGGGTATAACCTTGGTGTCATCAAGGCCCGAGTGAATAGGTTTCTTATGGGACGACGTTCTCCATAGTAGACCGCATCATTGCTTACTACCAGGCGTGATATTGGTCAAACGTCGGCCCAACTAACATAAAAAATAGTCTTTTGTTGACAGTGTTATTTGCATTTATTATTATGGCTCTTTAAACATAATAATAATATTCATTCACATAGAGTTTCTTGCTCGTTCTTCTCCATTCGTATTATTTATTTTGTATTTGTTGATTGAAAAGAACGAAATTATGGTTTCATTCAAATAAATGCTTTGACTTTGACTTTGAATTTGAACCAAAACTTTGTATAAATGGAAATCAAATACCTACCCAGAACTTTGTATAAAGCAACTGTACACAATATTTTGCGATGTACATATGTAAAGATTGTATGTTATATAATGTATTTACCATTTTACCATTATATTAATACCATTTGTATCTAACTTGTAAATTTACAATATTTTTTATGCTACAAAGATTATTAAATTAATATACTTGAACTCTAAACACCAAAACTGATGTAAAGTTTCACATAAAACGTCTTTATAAAAGGTTATTCCCAAGTTTCAATCTAACTATTTACATTAATGTAGTACTTAATATAGTTTATGAATCTACCAAAACATTCCTAAGAAACGCAGTAAATGATAGATGAAATATAATGATACTCCGCATACTATGGCAATCTGATTTAGTATTCACAAACCCGCGCTCCCAACTCAAATATAAATAAAGTTTTTCCATTCGACAGAGTTCCAAAGTTTACGGTCACGTACCCAACAGGGAAATAAAGATATACGCTATGGATCGTTCTGTTTCTTTTTTTATTATATTTACTTAACTACTTAACTCTTCGCTCATTAATTTAATGAGATTAATAATACTTTTGGTGGTTTCTGTGACTTTCATAATGATTTAATCGTCACTAACTCGTGACTGCCTCATTAGCCGAGTAGTCGCAAGTGCGACTGCCGGGCAAGGGGTCTCGGGTTCGATTCCCGGGTCGGGCAAGAATTATTGTGTTTTTACAAAAACTCTCAGTAGTAGCACAGGGTCTGCAAAGGTGCCCGGTATATGGCAATAGACTCACCCACTGTTACATGGGACTTATAGTTCAAAGTGGGTGTTACATTGTACGATCGCATGATATGCACCTCTGCCTATCCTTTCGGGGGCAAAAGGCATGAAGGTATGTATACTAGTCATTAAGTTACATTAAGCGAAGTAGTGCGATGTTACCAGACATGTCGACCGAAGTCTGGCAACGTTGTGCTGTTTCACCAAATATTAAAAAGGCTTTAATGTTTATTTGGAATAGTACTAGGTATCTGTTAATCAAAACAATAATAATTTACTCTAGTGAGCAATACAAAATATTAAAATAACGAGGACATTGATTGGTTTCACTGAACAAAATAGAGTCAATCACGCTGTTTGGTAAACAAAACTACGCAATTCGACTGCTTATTGTAACAATTGTAATGATTCTGTTTACAATACCTTAATTTAACTCGTCGAGTACCGGTTTTATAGACACAATTAAAGAACAATAGGTCGCGGTCACCGGTGACCGCTTGGTGTTTGACAGTTTAAATCGTAGTTTTGTTCTTTTTTTTCTTTTATAAGGCATAAAAGAAAAAAAAAAGTAAACATCCTTTTAAGCCTTTGACTGCCGAAAGAAAACTGTTGAAGTCAAATCCTCAGCTAACGTAGGTCACCGGTGACCTACGAGGCGGTTAACGTGTTAAGCAATGTAACACAATATCTTAACTGTCCACGTAGAATTAACACAGTAAACAGAGTTCGATATAATTATTGTTACCCCAATTATACAGCATGGCGCACATTAAACATAACACCCTATTGTTATGGCGCGACATTGTGGCTTTATGCGGTATCAGGTGTTGACATTGATTGCTCCATAAACAAGGAAAACATGGCCACTAAGGTCGAATATAACAATGGCAGCGTAATCTTTGCAATGCCTGTACAACTCTGTAGTTGCCAAAGAAACAGACGGTCCAGTTTCCACAAATTTCATTAAACTACGCGAATTGTTATCAATTCTTCTTAATCAAAGAATCTTTACGGGTCTTTAGTTATACGAATTAAAGCAAAAACCCGTCGGTTGCGAGAATTTCCCGCAAAGTTTTCACATTCAGCCGGAGTTTGCTCGAGTTTGGTGGAATTTGGCTGCGAAAGCTCCCCCGGGATGCTCGCTACCTGTTCAATGTGGAGCCTGCCAGAATTCTACAATTAATTCCCTAACTTTCCATTGTAAATATTATTTGACGGCCATTTCGTTAATGCTAGAGAGCAAACAATAAATGGGTCCAGGTACAGTCGTGCAGATATTTACATTGTGTTCTGGAACTAAAACATTTTCTGTCTACCTGGATA